TTATGGATGACACTAATTGGATTGCCAGTTCAAAACAAGATTTAGAATCTATACTTGAAATCGCTGAAGAATTCTATGATCTTACCAGATCAGCACTTAACAAAGACAAATCCAAACTATTGACTACTAAATCTTTAGATAACAAAAAAATTCCTCTTAAATTTGGATCATCTATAATCGACATTATACCAGAAACTGGATCTATTCACTTTCTTAGAGTCTAGATCAATAGTAGCCATTCTTCAAAATTCGTTAAACAACAACTTACTTTCGATATAAATCGTTTTGTTTCCTTAATGCGTTACAAACCGTTAACTGATAAACAAATCTCATACATTATTAATATGGTGCTTTGTCTACTATTAGAATATCGAATGCAACTAATACTCTTATCTCAACAAGAATGTATGATGCTCTTTGTACCTGTGCGTTCATTATTCAAGAAAAAGAACAAATTTGCATTTACTCTCCCAAATGTTCTCTTAAATTTCAAACAATTCTACAATTTGAATGATCTCTGGTCATTACAAATTAAATCTCTTTCTACCACTCTCTTATATCAGTTCACTAATTCTATAACTTACAAAAATATTTCTGTTATAAGACTCTTTCAACTCCAATCGCAACATTTTCTTGCTACCTCTCCCCTTGATTTTTGGTCACGGCTATTTGATAGACTTTCTTATAAAAATCTTATAGGCGCCTCCCTATCACTTATTAAATCCACTTTGTCTAAACTTTCACTCATTGCTTCTCCGTTTCTCACTAACCAAGTCAAAGGAGGATCCTATACTCTTGCAAAACTTTTTTTTTACAGACTTCACATGTCATTTAAAAAGATCTTGACTAATCACAACCTAATTTATTTAGATCAACTAATCTCTGCTTCAGGCTACCAGCTAATCACAAAAGCTGACTTTTTACTTAAAGACTTTAAACATCACTCTAAATACTTTGGATCACAAACTATGTTCAAACAATTAGCAGACATTGTTTTAGAAGACAATACTCAACGACTTCTCAAACCAGAATTTATATTAACCTCTCCTTTACCATGATATGGCTTTGTAACTAACTTACCTCTCTCAAACAATCGTAAAAAAGAATTTATCGCATCATGGAATCCAACAATCAATAACCCCTCGTTTGGTCAAATTATCATCAAAAATCTAACTGATAATCAATTTGTTTGTCAACACTTTGTATGCTCTACAAATAATGATAATGTCAGCCAACTTTTCAAATGTACTGGTTGTAACCTTTTCTCTGCCAACATTCGTTTTGGCACTTGTACATTCATAATTCCCATAAATAGAGTTTTTAAAGTCGATTTATTTCAAAAGCAATCTCATACCCTTAAAAATCAACTACAACAGTTACCTGCTGAAATCTCAAGGGTAGTTTATCTCTCTTACTTCACCTCCTATTTTGAGCAACAACCTCTTAACCCACCATCAAACAACGCAATTGACACATTATTCCTCCCTTCCTCAACATTAACTGAGCTTAAATCCTTACGAATAACACTCGCTGACAATACATCCCTGACATTTTACACTGATGGTTCTTTAGTCTCTCCAAAAACAGAATCATGCAAAATGAGACTAGGATGGATTTGTATTGATTCATCCAACAACCATCACACATTCAAAGCTTCACTAACGAACTGGCCTTCATCAATACGTGCTGAAATGTACGCTCTCCTTACTGCTCTTTTAGTATCACCACAGTCTTCTTTTGTAAAAATTTTTTCAGACAGTCAAGCTACAATTCAAGGATTCTCCAAATATGTTTTAAACAATGACCTTTCTCTCAGAAAATTCGAAAAGATACCCAACTACTCTATTTGGCATCTTATTAAACATACAATGGATACAATAAAACTCAACATACAATTTTATAAAGTCAAAGCACATACCAGCGATCACTTTAATGATATCGCAGACTAATTAGCCAAAGCTAGACGTGACGCCTATCCCATTATTCCAGTATTGAACAATATTCCCTCATCTGAACTTGTCTTTACTTTAATAACGTACCAATTGAAATATCTATTTGAAGTTTCTTCAAACAAATTTTTTCTGCCAAGACTTTCTGCAACTTTCTTGATCTAAATAGAAACGGTCACATCAGACGTCTTACCAGAAACCACTCTATCAGCTGGCCTGCTATTTGGTTTTTATTCTCCCTAGATTCATCCTCAAGTACCACTTCATTTGCCTCATGTAAACTCAAAACCTTCATTATAAAAAACTTTGTTGATGAACTACCAACCCTTTCAAGATTATCTATACTACGACCAGATTTGTATGAACATTGGTGTTGTGTTGACTGTGAACTAGGTACAGAAACTTCTGAACATCTCTGGACCTATCCTGCCTATATTACAAGATTACAAAATGTTATCCAAGCTACCAAAGATGAGCTAATCTATCATCTTACAGAATTAAATATATCCAAACTTACTGAGTTTCTTCCAGAATTACTAGATATTCTAAATGACATCCTTACCACTCCCTCATCTAGAACAGATGGTTACATCAATATTATTCATTTTCTCATTCCCTCCTCTTTAATAGATATAATTCATAAAATCATCAGAAATAAGGGTCAATGTCTCTCAACCATCACTCAAACCCTGATAATTTTTCATCAAAAATTATTCGAGAATGTTTGGAAACACCATTGTAATCTAATGATAGCAAAAGAATGTTCATTAGGCATCACAATCAAAGATAAGACTAAATGAAGTGCCAGTTCATTCTTGAGACATGAAGAGACATCAAGTCCTACACATAATTAGGAATCTTAGATACACATGATGAATAAATTCGGATACACTTTTACGGATTTTTAGATAGGCACTGACTCTTTCTTTTTCTTCTCTTGTTGATAGCAATCTTCATTAGGTATATACTTAGTGGACTTGTTGGAGGGGGAAGACGATGA